CCTCATTCTCTGCCATCTATTGTTCCCAGCATTAGGGTCTTCTCCAAGGAGTCCTTCTTTCTCATTAGGTGGCCAAAGTATTTGAGTTTCATCTTCAGTACCTGGCCTTCTAAAGAGCAGTCAGGGTTGATCTCCTCTAGGACTGACCGGTTTGATCGCCTTGCGGTCCAAGGGACTCGCAGGAGTCTCCTCCAGCACCACAATCCAAAGGCCTCAGTTCTTTGGCACTCAGCCTTCCTTATGGTCCAGCTTTCACAGCCATAAATTGCATCTAGGGAAACCATAGCCTTGACTATATGCACTTTACATAGCACTAAATCAGAGTGGCCTTCCATGGCACACAGAGTTTCTGTTGTTGTTGTTGTTGTTACGTGTTGTCAAGTCATTTCTAGCTCATGAATGAAAGCCCTCCAGAATATCCTACCCATGACAGCCTTGCTCAGCTCTTCTAAATTCAAGGCTACAGCTCCCTCTATGGAGGCAATCCATCTTATAGTTTGTTTATTTATTGATTTTATTTTATTTAAAACATTTCCATCCCATCCTTCACGATAAAATGTCTCAGGATGGCTTACAAAATTTAAAAAAGTAATCCAGCAATACAATAATTAAGGAATAAATTATAGGCAAAGCATGAATAAAACAATCACATCCACAAAACTAATGAAAAGAAAAGGCAACTGTAATCTAAATCCTAAAACATTCAAAATCTCAATCTTAAAATGGTGGCTAAATAAAATGTCTTTACCTGGCGCTGGAAGGAGTATAGAGGCGGCGGCAGGCGAACCTCTCTGGGGACCACATTCCACAATTGGTGCCACCGCAGAGAAGGCCCTCTTCTGGATAGATACCTTCCTTACCTCCTTCAGCGAGGGTTCCCGGAGCAAGGCCTCTCCTGCCGATCTTAAGGGGCATGAGGGCATATAGGGAAGGAAATGCTCCTTCCAGTCTTCCCCTTACTCGTCTCCCTTTGACTTCCCTAACATGATTGTCTTCTGCAGGGAGTCTTTCCTTCCCAGGATGTGGCCAAAGTGTGACAGCCTCCCTTTTTGCTTTTGGGGAAAGTTCTGTCTTGGTTTTAAGATTCATGTGAGTAGACTTGCCCATTTACTTCAATGGAGGGCCTGCCCTGTACACGCAACACTTTCAACATGAAGAGCTGTGTGCATCCTTGCAGTGAATGGTGAGACATGGAAAGTAGGGAAGTCCAAAGCTACTGTGCCTACCAGCCTTTGCCTTGGGTGGGTGTGTTTACATTGAGTAAATGGGGCAAGGCAGTAAATGGAACCAGGGCAGGGCAATGCTTTAGGGTGTCATTCTCAACAATATGATGTATTTATATCTCAGAACATGACATCCGCAAAAACATTTATGGCAATCCTGTTTATTTCTACTCAGAATAAGTCCCATTAAGTTCAGTGGAGCGTACGCCATTGCAAGTGGGTATAGGATCGCACCCAACATGTATATTTTCTCAGTGCGACTCTGGCTAATAACATTTATGGTACAATAATAAAGCAACATTACTTTAGATCCAACATAAAACAGAAAGAGCACTTTGATTTTGTTCCTCCTCCCCTTTTGAAAAAAGAGGGTTTTTTTTATTATTATTATGGCATAGCAAGCTAAATCCCTAACCATGTATTCAATTTGAGTGAATTTACAGTTCAGTATTTTCCTTAGTAAGGCCCGTAGAATACCCCACTGTGCATTAACTAAACTCAAGCCATAATAAGCAGGGGATATTTGTCATCATTAGCACTATGGATTTTACAGGATATGAATCCCTTAGTGCTACCTTTACCTCCAACTCCAACAAATCTGGGTACCGTTTCTTCCCCCCTTTGCATTCCCCAGTCCCTCAGGCCTCACAAAAAGACCCCTCCCCAAGGCTACCCAGCCTTCTAAGTAACATATAATAGCCTTAACTTAGAAAGAATTTTATTACAACTGCTTTCTGGACAGTTCCCAGGATGGGTCATTACTGGCATTTTCCCCATGTTTTGAATTGTTTATGTATTTTCTGGTAAAGTATTCTACAAGCATCTCACTACTGTGGTGGAAAGCTAATGTTTCACGTCTCTCTGAGGGCAACCTCTTTCCATAAAATACAGTTATAATAGCACATAGGTAAATCTTTTCCCCTATTAAAACACAAAGTGTGGGTGTAAGTGACTGGTCCTGAACAAAAGTCCAATAAACACTTTCAGCTACACTTCCTCTCCACCTACCCTTTTAGTACACGTTACAAGTATGGAGAGGGCATTAGCTTTGTCCGCCTTCCAGATTTGTCAGGACTAGCGCTCAAGCAGAGGTGACTGAGCTACCTGGGGAGAAGCAGCTGCTGATGGCTGCCAGAAGCTCTTAAAATGGCAGCCGCCAGTAATGGCAGAAGGGCAGTCTGCCATTTTGGCTTGGCTTACCCATGGAGCAGAACGGGATGGGAATGAAGTGCTAGGCAGCCATTTGTGTTCAAAGTAAACACAGGTGAGGAAGTGATTTGGCTGTTGCAACATCAGACTATTTTGCACCAACTATTTTGTGATTCTCCAGCATGTACTGGAGCAAAGGGGTAGCAGAACCAGGGTTCAAAGCAAGAAAGCACTGGGACTTTTGGATAAGCAGGGATGCTGCTTGTCTTCTGCCACCCTGATCTGGTCCCTTTGAACTTAACTGCAGTCCTCACCGTAGGTTAGAAAAATGCATGTTTCCAGTAAAAATGCATTGTTATGAGCAATCTCCGTTGTAATGTATGGTCTTTCCATGTGACTTGCTCTTGAATGAGCAAATAAGATTTACTAGCTTTACAAGTGATCTCTTCCTGTTGCAGACGAACAGCTAAAACTTGGGGCAGGGGGTGCTTTCTTTGGATCCACACAGTTACCTGAATTCTTGGACTCTCCTCAAGGGCATCATTATAAGACTATCCAGAGAAATACCTGCCTGCACTTCAACCTTTACTGCTCTTCTGCTGTGCTGGAGGCATCATCTTCTCTACCACCCTCCTTCATGCCCTGATACGTAGAGGGGACACACATGCCACAAACATGTTGCAAAGCACCTTCTTGTAAGAGCTGAACAGAAACCCTCCCCTCCCATCATTGCCACCCCTGTACTGGGCAAGGTGTCACTGTGCCTGGGTACTCTGTCATCCCAGTCAAGCAATGTCCTTTAAGTAGGAGTCCACCCCACATTTCATGTAGGACCACCTGGTTTCTGGTTCAGATGAACAGAAATTGAGGGTGAGGTTGCTCCATGCAAGCAGGGACTAGCAAGCCTTTGTGTTTCCTCTAGTCTGCCAGGGCTCCTCCGCCAAGAAGGATGCATGAGCATTTCATTTTTCTTCAGATTTTGCTTGAGTTTGTCCAGCTTCCACCTCTGAGCATGAATACAAACACAGCTGCTTCTTTCAGAAGAAGCCCACTTTTTTCCAAGCAAGTGTCCAAAAGAGAATTGCATTTTAACAATGCACATTATCATTGTTGTTGTTTCATTCTGCAGCACCCAATAGCTGAAGCTGTCTGGGCTGTTTACATATTTTACAACTTTTTTGGGGAAATAATTATTTTCATGCTTTGTTCCGGGTATGCACATGTAAAAATACATGCCAAAATGCAGAGTATTCCTTGTCAAAAAGATGGCAAATGAGGATGGGAATAATGCAGATGATGTTTCAAGGTGGATTCGGAGACTCCCAGAAAGCTTGAGCTTTGCTGATTCTCCCATCCCTACTACAAATGGTCATAGAATCATGGAGCTGGAAGAAGACCTTGTTCTACCCCTTGTTCCATGTGGGAAATCCAGAGTTAGACCTTTCCCAGCAGATGGATCTCCAGTAGGACCAGAAATGGTTGGCCTGCAACTCCCATCATCCCAGTGGTGATGGAGATCATGAGGGCTGCAGTTTTGCCAGCATCTGGAGGAACAATCACTTCCATTGTTAAGCTGCTATTGGCATCAAGGCATTTTGACTAATATTCAACCAAAATGTTGTCCTGTAACTTGCATCCCTTAGATCTTGTTTTGACTTCTAGGGCAGTAGAGAACAAGTCTCTCTCCTCTTCTGTGTGGCAGCCCTAGAGTATATGAAGTGTACTCTTTTGTCTCCCCTGCAGAAGAGGACAGGGCACGCTCCAAGCTCAGGGAGTCAAGGTTCAGTTTAGATGCCAGGAAGCACTTCCTGACAGTTAGGAGCCTGAGGGTGTGGAATGGGCTTCCACAGGAGGAGGTTGAGGCCCCATCGGTGAGGGTGTGCAAAGATAGGCTGGACATGCACATGGCGGGCATATTGTGAGCGGAGCCGGCTGGAGCTGGGGGTCAGTCTAGATGGCCCGGGAGACCCTTTCTGACTCTGTTTCTTTGTTCCTGTGCCTCCATCCCCACTTCTTGTTACATTGCATTTCTATCCTGCCTGTTTTCCTCTTGAGAGGAACCCAAGACAGTTTATGTAACTCTGTTATATCCTCATCAGCAACGCTGTGAGTTAGGGCAGGCTGAGAGCGAGTGACTGACCCGAGGTCAGTCGGTGAGCTTCATGGCTGAGCATGAGCTCTAGAACCTGGATCTTCCCTCTCCCCACTCTGCCGTGCTCACCACCACATCATGCTCAGTCTTCTCCAGACTAAACATACTCAGTCCCTTTAGTAGCAGCTGTGCAGAACCATTTTCAAAAAACACGTCGAAGCTGTAGCAGAGGGGAGACTTGGAGTCGGATCCTCGCTGGGCTGTGAAATTCAGTGAACAAACCTGGACAGCCCTAAGTCTAAAGTTTTTCACAGGGTTTTTATGAGGAGAAAGCGAGCCATGAGCTCCAAAGCTTGTGTCCAGCATTCGTCCTGCTTTTGACTAACATGACTTGCGCAAGTCCATTCATTTCAATGAGCTCACTCAAAGCAGAACTAAAACTGGATACATAGGTCTTTTTCTTACTCAACCTTTGATGGGACTTGGTGATAAATTTCTTCCCCGTCCTTTTTTTCCTACTCTGCCCTAAACTGTAGGTTCTAATCAGAGTGCTGGACAACAATGATAATGGTCCAGAATTTTCCCACCCAAGTTACGATGTCACCATTTCTGAGGACATCCTCCCTGACACGGAAATCCTTCAGGTGGAAGCCATGGACCGAGATGAGAAGCACAAGCTCAGCTACATCATTCACAGCAGCATCGATTCTATTAGCATGAGGAAATTCAGACTGGACCCCAACACAGGAGTGCTGTACACTGCGGAGCGCTTGGACCACGAAGCACAAGATAAGCACATCCTCAATGTCATGGTAAGAACAGAATATTAGCTCTGCTTGGATAGAATCGCTGCCTTTTAAGCAGTGTATGCTTGAAATTTTTAAAGTTGCTTTAAAATTTTGTTAGGAAGCAGTAATTAATTTTCTTCCCTGCACTGCATCCATCCATCCATCCATCCATCCATCCATCCATCACTGAGACTTTGTAAAGCTTATTGTGAAAGACTTATCTTACAAAATGGTTTTAGCATCTTGAGGGCGGACACGGAAGAGACATTATAATCTCCAGATGCCTGTGCCTTTATCAGAGGTGACTTTCTTAAAGAGTTTCTCTGGAGGAGTTTTAAAGTTCTTTCAGCAGCCTTTAACAGAGCGATTATTGCTTTTCTTGCCACGCTTAGCTCTTGAAAGCATGGGCTCTGATTTATCACATACTTCTGTAGGATTCTCTTAGAGTAGGAGATACTGGTTTGTGTGCCTAAATTACAGAGCAGAAATTGTTCTGCTGTGAAGTGGATGTGGAATGTTATGAAGCAGAAATGATTATTGTGTGTGTGTAAGAATATTCCAGCTCACCTTGAATTTCCTCTAGAGTACTGAGAGTCCTGAAAAAATGGATGAAAAAATGCAACTGGATGAATTAAAGCATGTATTTTTGCTCTTTTTTAACTTTAATGCAGGGAAGGATGATCATCCAGATTGGGACATGGGAGGGAAGAAGGATTCTACCCTCTCTTTTCCACTGCAGTTCTTCTCTGGATTGCCAGGCAGAGGCTGAAATTCAGTGGATCTTAATTCAGCACTATAAATTTATGGTGTGGGGCTTTGGACAGAGCTTTTAATGCGGGGGGGGGGGGAGATTAAAGCTCCAGTGAACTCACAAGACCGGTGGCTCCAAACTCTCTGCACTGATTTATCCACTCTGGACATAAGTCTGAATTTTGAAGAAACTAACCAATGGCTGAAGCATTTCTCCAAAATAGATTCAACATGCAGGACAGCTCATTTAAAGTTCAGTCTAAAGTTTACAGTGGATAAACCCTCCCCAGTGACCTTGGTGGCACCAGCCTCCACTGTCTGGATGTGATGCATAATCACATCAAGGTCCCGTCTTTGCTCTGTGATATAATTAGTTGATGGAGCACATCAACAAGAAAAGACAAGTGTGAACTAGGAAGTAGAGCAAACAGCACCTGTGCAGTGTTTGAACAATATCCTAAAATCGAAAGCAGATGAATGACTGCTTCCTAACATATCCTCCCACCTCCAAAAAACATGATCCTTATAAAGATCAGTTTAGAAACATAGAGAGTCAGAAGGGGCCTCCCAAGCCATCTAGTCTGACCTCCGGCACCAGCCAGCTCCACTCACGACATGCCCACCATGTGCATGTCCAGCCTATCTTTGAACACCCTCACCGATGGGGCCTCAACGACCAAGTTTAGAAACCATCAATCGATCAATAAAATGCAGGTAAAGCAGAAAAGCCAAATCAAAGGCAAAATTCAGAAGGGGAGAATACCTTTTCTATAATCTCTTTGGTTTACTTTGATTTTTTGTTGATATTTTGTCTATGCGGGAATTTGCAAATGCTGTGCAACACTCACATTAGGCTAATATTTTTTCAACCCCTTCATATTTTAGTAATGATGTTTCCTTCCCTCCAGGTTCGTGACCAGGAGTTCCCCTATCGACGGAACTTGGCCAGGGTCATTGTAAATGTAGAGGACTCTAACGATCACAGCCCCTACTTCACCAGTCCGTTGTACGAAGCCTCCGTCTTTGAATCGGCTGCCATTGGATCTGCAGTTTTGCAGGTCACTGCCCTGGATAAAGACAAAGGAGAAAATGCAGAGCTGATCTACACCATAGAAGCAGGTTAGCAAGCAGAGGATAAAAAGCCAACAGGCTGGTTCATACTATAAAGCTGCATTAAGACCCATGATTTAATGGCATTCTCGCTGAAGTTGCTCTAGAAATGTAGCTTCCCCAAAAGATAAGTGTGCTGCAATCCCATTGAAATCATAGGATTTAGGGCACCATTAAGCATCTAATAAGACCTCATATTTATTGACCTTGACATATTTTGTCTTCCAGACAGGGTGCCTTGCAGGGCAGATGCCTTGATTTGCTGTGTGACATTTAAACATGGTTTCAGAATTGTACCTTTGTTATGACTGTGGCTGCTATAGCTGCAATCCTAAATATACTTCTTAAGGAATAGGCAACGGAGCACCTGACTAAGCACACATAGGGTTACACTGCAAATCACTGCAAGTCACTTCACTTCACTTCACTGTTTGCCTTTTAAAACGGTATGTACGGAAGTGCCCAATATGTGTGGAAGAACTCTTAATTTTCTTGGCCTATATATGTGCTCAACAATCAGAGTCAATATAGTTGGGCAATCTTTTTTTCCTGCTTTCTGTGGTCCCAAACCTATCAATTCAGTCTCAGTGTAGGTTTCTGCATTTTGCATGAAGAGTCCTACAGCAAAATCATTTATAATTGAGTAGCTTATCATCTGGAGAGGACCGTGCATGATCAGAGATACATTCATATGCACTCACCATCCTAGCCAGCCTGTGAAAGGCAAGATGTAAAGCAAGCGCGATCCACTAGTTCTGTCACCACCTTGACAGAGTTTGTGAATGGGTACATAGCCATCTTAGAATATCAGATGGGTAAGATCCAGGATGCATGTTAAGAGATGGGAGACTATTTGCATTTTAATGTGTATGTCTCTAATTTTGAACCACTGTGTAAAACAAAACTCAGTTCTGAAATGGTGGTTCTCTAAATTTTGCAATGAAGTTAGAAACATAGAAACAGAGTGAGTCAGAAGGGGCCTCCCGGGCCATCTAGTCTGACTCCCGGCTCCAGCCGGCTCTGCTCACAACATGCCCACCATGTGCTCATCCAGCCTATCCTTGAACACCCGCATCGATGGGGCCTCAATGACCTCTCGTGGAAGCCTATTCCACACCCTCAGGGTCCTGACTGTCAGGAAGTGCTTCCTGGCATCTAAATGGAACCTTGGCTCCCTGACCTTTGCTTCGTTGGAGCGCGTCCTGCCTTCCTCTGCAGGGGAGAACAGGTCTCTACCCACCTCCATGTGGCATCCCCTCACATACCTGTATGTCGCCAACAGATCCCCTCAGAGTCTCCTCTTCTCCAGGCTGAAGAGACCCAGTTCCCTCAGTCTCGCCTCATACGGCATCCCCTGTAAACCAGCCACCAACCTTGTGGCCCTACGCTGCACTGACTCCAACCTGGCTATATCCTTTCTGTAATGAGGGGCCCAAAACTGAGCACAATACTCCAGTTGCGGGCACAACAGAGTCGTGTAGAGTGGTAGTAATACCTCTCTTGATCTAGAAGCCACACTTCTGGCTATGCAACCAAGGGTGGCGTTCGCCCTCTTGACCACCGCATCACACTGCAGACTCATGTTTAGCCTGCAGTCAACCAGCACTCCGAGGTCCCTTTCACAAGGGCTGCTCTCCAGCCACTTGTCACCTAACCTGTACTTATGACCCATTCCTATGCCCCAAGTGCAAGACCTTGCACTTATCCACATTGAACGCCATCCTGTTGTCTTCTGGCCACTTCCATAGTCTGTCCAGATCCTATCCTGGAGTACCTGCTCCTCAGTTGTGTCCACTGCCCCAGTTTTAGTGTCGTCTGCGAATTTGATCAGCAGACTGTTCACCCCTTCCATGTCATTAATGAAAAGATTAAACACGGTCGGCTCCAGGACAGAGCCCTGGGGGACCCTGCTTGTCACTGGCTGCCATCCCGATGATTCCCCACTAATGTTTACCTTCTGCTTTCAGTCACTAAACCATTGCTTTGGTGTATCCCAAAACTCCTCAGTTTCTCCACCAGGATATCATGGGGCACTTTGTCAAAGGCCTTGCTGAAATCCAGGTATACCACATCCACTGCATCCCCTCCATCTAGCCATCTCGAAACCTTGTCATAGAATTCCACAAGGTTTGTCTGGTGGGACCTGTTTTTGCGGAAGTTCTCCAGTCGTACTGAAACATGTACGTTAGGGCAAATAATTCGAAACAATTTTTTCTAATGTTACAAAACTGCTTGCAAAATACATTTGTATAGGCAAAAAGAGCCAGTGTGATGTGGTGCTTAACAGCTCACGACTGCAACTCAGGAGATTTGGGTTCTAGTCCCTGTGCAGCCATGGAGCCAAATGGGTGACTTTGGCCCAGTCACAGACTCTTAACCCAACCTACCTCACAGGGTTGTTGTGGGAATAAGATTGAGAGCAGGAGAAGAATGATGTAAGCTACTCTGATTTCTTTCCAAGAAAAAAGGCAGGCTATAAATCCGATAGATGTGCATACAAAATGCATTCATTCATTCATTCACTCATTTATTGCATTTGTATCCTGCCCCATAGCCAGAAGGCTCTCTGGGCGTCTCACAGCGCAATCATAAACAATAATACAGAAAAAATAGAAATACAGATAAAAATAGATGACAGAATATATCAGAAGAACTGAGTGCAAAACTGCTTATGAATAATAGAGACAACATATTTTAAAGCTCTGTTTAGGATGAACTAAACTAAAGACACAAGAGCAAACAAAACTGAGAGAGTCATCATTCCCAGCTCACACTTCTGCCCGAGGCTGTGTCAAGCTACTGCCTTTGCAGTATTGTACTGATTCCAATTCTGTCACTCTCTGCTCTGGTTCACCGATGTACCGGCTTAGATTCAGGTTTTTGTTAACACTGGATTTGCCCAACCCAATTCCTACACCTTCCCATTTCATGCAGCGTTGGGGACTTCAAACTGTCTTCCTAAGTGCATGTCAATGGGTTTAGTCTTTCTTAAATAAATTGGAGGTAATAAGCAGGTTGACTAGGCAGGTACGGAGAAGCCCCGTCTTGGCACCTGGATTTCTTCTCAGCAGTTGCAAAGTAGCAAGTGAGATGCCATGAGTTACAACAGAGAAGCACCAGACAGTAGGCAAGTGAGCAACCTATTGTCCACCGTCTCATTCACCCCGAGTCACTTTTCCGTGTGGTTATGGCAAATCTGCCTCTAGAACCATTACAAGGGGAAGTCATTGCAGGGGGAAAGTGGCAGACTTCAGGGTCAGACTTCCCTTTTCTCTTGTCTATCAGTTCTCCACTGCAGATCAAGCTGCTCTGCAGCTGAGTCCTAGGTCAGCTGCCAAGTGGCTGTTTTAGGCCTGCGGCAAATGGTCACAGTGATGCTGTGGAGGGGATTGAGCATGAGGAAAAGTCTTGCTCCAGTCATGAAGTAGGAAAGAGAGAGAGGATGATGGCCTAGAAGAGGGACAGTATGAAGCCTCTGCCCAGAGTAATCACAAAAAACCTGAAACCATTCAGGGAAATTTTATCTCTCCATGCCTGCCTCTGCTTTCGTTTCCATCCTCTCTCCACCTGCAATCTGAGGCTTCAGGCCTCTGTTTCAGATAAAGTTGCAAATTCCTAACGTTTCATTATCCACATGTGCTCCTGGATGGGACCTCATGCCACTTTCTGAAGCTGCCGTTCCCTGATCCGTGTAAGAAGGTGCAGCGAGGATGTTAATTTTAACTGATGGGTTCAGCTTATATGTATGGTTCCTTGCTTCCCAGGGAATTCAGCTCATGCAAGCGCAGCACTGAAAAATGGAAACCAATAATCTCATACTTTAATAACACCAGGATCTGTAGGAGAGGACTCGACTTTCATAAAAGTGCTAATCTATAGACTGGTGCACGTGTTCCATCCCAGAAATGCAGGCAGGGCATTAAGCAGGCCAGCTGAATGCTTGGATTTCACATTGCCTTGTTGACAGATAGACAGAACAGAGCCCTACGGGCAAAACTGTTACAGGAGACACAAGGAGTGCTGAAAAGGGCACCCCACATCTTGAGATCTCCCCTTCCAATGGGTAGTCAAATTTACCCCATATCCAGACAGCATCACCAAGTCACAACCAGTGCTTTCAAGAGGAGAAATAAGTTAGGGATAAAGGGATCTGCCTGTTTTGATTTCTCTCCATTTTTCATTTTCCTGGTGTTAAATTTGGCTCGCCCCAAAATTTGATCAGGGTTTTATGCTTACTTTAACTCGGAGTCCTGCGCTGAGCAGGAGGACGGACCTAGTAGGCTTCTCGCCTGCTTCCAACTCTAGTTTTTTGTGCTTCTGTAAGCATTCATAATTTTTTTGCAGACATTCCCCATGAGGCACACATGTTTGTATGCAATCCTAAGTAATCTGCAGAGCAGTTCTGTGACCCCTTTGGCCATCACATTGCGTGGATGCCCAGCTTCGAGTTTGGAAGCGCTGCCCGTGAAGTTTAGGTCACCTGTTCCCCTGCTTTTGCAGCCAGTAGGGAAAGAACCACACCTACTGCCTTTCTGATGTTACAAAATATTTCCAGGTTCAGGGAGGAAACAAACACCACCCTAAGCCTCCTTCCCTCCTCACCGAAGCCCATTGAGCTGCCCTGCAAATGGTGGGAGAACAGAAGTGACCGCCACTTCCTGCTCTGCATAGGATGCATATAATCCTCCATGTTCAGAGAATTACTGGCATCTCCACAGGATTGTAGCCATGCTCAATTGATTGGAATAATATTCATAATAGAATTCACTTTGAATTTATTTTCAATAGTATATCTATTTCTGTGCACACTTGTTCCCAATACATACATTTTGTGTGCATTTTTAATCAAAGAATTCCATTGCAAGATCTGTAGAATTATGAATTTAGAAGTATGACGACGTTCATCTTAGTCCAAATTTACAAAATTAGGCAATGCAAATGGAAGAAATTTCTTCCTCACCTCTCGCTTGACTATTCCTTAGGCAGGGAGACAGGAAAAACATTGCTTGGATTGGCTGTTTCCAGCAGCAACCTGGTGTTTCATGTAACATGCAAAACCGTCCTCGCTGTATGTCTTTGACAAAAAAGCCCCTTGATCCAAATTCATCCTGATATTCAGTGTGCAACCTTAAGGACCTGCTCTTTGGAGCACATTTACATCTTCACCCAGTAATGATTCATCTTGATTTCTCCCCGTCCATGGAGATCAATAAACCTTGATGCCATGGATCCCTTTTATCTCTTTCATGAGCTATTATTCCTTTTGTGTTGCTTGAAAAGAAAATGCTATTCTCTTACATGGCATGCAGTCCTGCAGAGGCACTGAGTCAGTATTCTTTAATTGCTCAGAAACCTCTTTATTTGCAAGCACAGATGCTTCTTCAGGCATTGAACAATCAGCTTGTTTTATCCCTCTTTTGCTTCTACCACCTGATCCCAAACCCACTGACTTTGAAGTCCAGTTGCTTTCAGAGGAATATGCTTTGTTGTAAACTGGTGCAAAATCACAGCTCTAGAGGAAAGCTTCAGAGTTCATTGCAGCTCAATCCCCCATAAGTTTGTTTACGGGACTCCAACAGGCTCATTCACATGTGGGTGTATGTCCCATTGAACTCAATAGGGCTTGCTCAGTCCAGATACTTTCTTAGATAAGCTGCAATAAGTCACACGTTTACTGGGGCAATCTCCAGTTGAAGCTTAATGACACTGCATTGAGACTACAGCAGAATTAAAAGTTTACAGTTTTGCAGCATTAGTACACTACACAGTGAATTCATAGAATCATAGAGCAGTAGAGTTGGAAGGGGCCATGAAGCCCATCGAGTCCAACCCCCTGCTGTTGCAGGACACCAATCGCACCCTCCCGCTCAGATGGCTGTCCAGTTTCTTTTTGGATGTCTCTAGTGTGGGAGAGCCCACCACCTCTCTAGGCACCTGGTTCTGCTGTCCTATCGTTCTGGCAGTGAGGAAGCTTTTCCTGATATCTAGCCTGAATCTGGGTTGTTGCAACTTGACTTGATTATTTCATGTCCTACACTCTGATACCAACAAGAAGAGATCTTGACCTTCCTCTTTGTGACAGCCTTTGAAGTACTTAAAGAGTGGCATCGTGTCCTTCCTCAGTCTTCTCAAGGCTGAGCATGTCCACTTTTCTCAGTCTTTCCTCACAGGACAGTGTTTCCAAACCCTGGATCATTTTTGTTGCCCTCCTCTGGACCCTGTCTAATTTTTCTGCATTTTCTTAAATCTTGATACCCAGAACTGGACACAGTATTCCAGATGGAGTAGTGAGCAAGTGTTGTTGAATTGTTATAGTTTTATTATTATTGCAGTACATTACAGTCATTCCCCTTGCAAAGTGCCTTACAATATTCTCCTTCTCTCCATTTTATCTTCACATCAACAACCTGTAAGGTAGATTAGGCTGAGAGTCCATGACTGACCCAAAGTCACCCAGTGCATTTCAGGAATGAGGGCAGCCTAGAACTGGATCCCCTGTGTCCCAGTCACCATCATGCTGCACTGGTTCCACTTCCGTGGAAGGGTTTCCTTTCAAGATTATCAACATACTCTTGATGCTTCAGTTCCATAAGGTTCCTTGGGAAAAGTCTGGGGTGTTGAATTGGTTTAAGATTAATTTGCATGTCTCATTTAGGGAGTCCCTTAACTATCACAGTGCAGTAATATCTTTTTAAGCTTCATCCTAGAACTTCTGCATTACTCAAGTCTTTTGCCAATTGGCCACCCAAGGGAGTTGAATGGAGGCCAAGGCTATCAATGGCTACTAGTCCTGATGCCTATGCGCCACCTCAAGTATCAGCACAGTGTGCCTGTGCATGCCAGTTGCCTGTGAACTTGGGCAGGAGGTGCTCTTGCACTCATGCCTGCTGGTGGACTTCCCTCAAGCAGATGGGTGACCACTGTGCATAGAGAATGCTGGACTTGATGGACCATGCTCTGATCCAGCGTGGTTCTTCTTATCATCATATTGAAATCATCTCAAGTCTATTGAGATCTTGCTTCAGAAAACTCAGAGTGACTTTCATGCAGATTCTGAGCACTGATTAGGGGAAACCTCACTTCCCCTGCATAGATTAATCCATGTAATACAAACCTGCCCATGATGCAAATGACTCCAAGGGAAACAGCCCAGGAGACGAGGATGGTGCTCACCCTGTCTTGGGGCTGCAAAAAAGCAAAGGAAGGGTGGAGATGGGCTGGGCTGGGCTAACTGCATTTGGTTCACTTGGGATGTGTGAGCAATCTGTCTTGTATGTAAAATCTGATGGGTTCCTTAGTTTCAGCTTGCCAGATCCAGAATGCTGCTGAGCAAGCCCAGGGATCAAACCCATGTTCGCTGCTGCTGCTGCTGAGAGCAGCAAATGAGGGAGAAGGTTGGCCACTGGTAATGATGACCAGCACACCACCACTCACTGTACCTTTTTTCTGCCACCCACTGGGGTAGCAAGCAGTGAAGAAGGTTGTCTGTGTGGTATGATAAGCAGTGCACCCACTCACAGCTCCGTTCTATCACATTCTGCAGTCTCTTCTGACGGGGGATTTTGCCAGTTGCACAACCAGGAACCCGCAAGCATCACGGACTTCCTTTTGGCTCAGATCCCTTTGCAGAACTGGGTTGAGCACAAGAGGAAGTCCACAGATTCTGGAGGGTCAGATTCTGAAACGGTTCATTCCTACCCTGTCGGGAATGTCAGAAGTCTCTCGGGAATCTCACTCCTTATATATATTCCTACTTTACTCTTTCAGGGAACACTGGGAACACATTCAAGATTGAACCAGTCCTGGGGATCATCACCCTGTTGAAGGAACCAGACCTGACCACCATGAGCCAATTTGTCCTCTCGGTCAAAGTCACCGACCAGGGCTCTCCACCACTGTCAGCAACAGCCATTGTCCGTGTATCTGTGACTATGGCAGACAACTCTCACCCCAAATTCACACACAAGGAATGGCAAGCCGAAGTGAATGAAAACGTCGACTTGGGGACATTGGTTACCTTGGTCTCAGCCATCAGCCAGTCTACATTAGTCTATGAAATGAAGGCCGGCAACACAGATGGAGCCTTTGCTATCAACCCCTACTCAGGAGTTATCACTAGTCAAAAGCCCCTTGATTATGAGCACATTTCCTCTTACCAGCTCGTAGTGCAAGCTACAAACATGGCAGGGATGGCGAGTAACACCTCTGTGAACATCCAGATCGTGGATGAAAATGACAACCCACCCGTCTTTCTTTCCTCACAGTACTCGGGAAGCATCAGTGAAGCTGCCCCAGTCAACAGCATCGTCCGGAGCTTAGGAAACAACCCACTAGTAATAAGAGCTACTGATGCTGATAGTAATCAGAATGCTTTGCTTGTCTACCAGATTGTTGAATCCACTGCTAAAAATTACTTCACCGTGGACTCCAGTACCGGTGCAATTAGAACAATTGCCGATTTAGATCATGAAACCATTGCACATTTCCACTTTCACGTCCATGTTCGTGACAGTGGCCATCCACAGCTTACTGCAGAAAGTCCAGTTGAGGTTACTATTGATGTAACAGATGTCAATGATAATCCTCCAGTTTTTAGCCAGGCCATGTTTGAGACAGTCCTGCTTCTGCCAACGTACGTTGGGGTTGAGGTTCTTAAAGTCAAGGCTGCAGATCCAGATTCCGAAGTCCCACCTGAAATGACCTATAGCCTGATTGAAGGCAACACAGAGCATTTTCTTATTGATTCCAATTCTGGGGTTCTGTCTATAAAAAACAACAGCCTTTCCAAAGATCATTACATGCTCATAGCAAAAGTGTCTGATGGAAAATTCTACAGCACTGCCATAGTGACCATAATGATTAAAGAAGCCATGGACAGTGGTCTCCACTTCACCCAAAGCCTTTATTCCACATCCATCTCTGAAAACAGCACCAATATCACACAAGTAGCGGTGGTCAATGCTGTTGGAAACCGCCTCAATGAACCTTTGAAGTACAGCATCTTAAACCCAGGAAACAAATTCAAGATCAAACCCATCTTAGGGGTCATTCAAACTACTGGTGTCCCATTTGACAGAGAGGAACAGGAACTCTACGAGCTGGTGGTCGAGGCTAGTCGTGAGCTGGATCAGCTGCGGGTAGCCAGAGTCGTCGTCAGAGTTCACATTGAAGACATCAACGACAACGCCCCAATGTTTGTTGGACTTCCTTACTATGCTGCTGTTCAAGTTGAGGCTGATCCTGGCACCCTCATCTATCGAGTCACAGCCATTGATAAGGATAAGGGTGCAAATGGGGATGTCTCTTACCTGCTGAGGGAGGACTATGGGCACTTTGAAATTGACCGACACACTGGCAGCGTCACACTGAAAGCAGCCTTCAATTCTGACTTATCCAACATCGAGTATTTAATTATTGTCATTGCTAAAGATGGAGGCAATCCATCACTGTCGGCATCTGTAGAATTGCCAATTACAATAGTTAACAAAGCAATGCCTGTTTTTGACAAACCTTTCTATACCGCGTCTGTAAATGAAGATGTAGAAATGCACACCCCAATTCTGAGTATCAATGCTACTAGTCCAGAAGGTCAAGATATAATTTACATAATTGTAGATGGAGATCCGTATAATCAGTTCAACATTGATTTTGACACTGGAGTCCTCAGTGTCATCAGTCCGTTAGACTATGAAATAAGTCCCATTTTCAAGCTGACAGTAAGAGCCAGTGATGCTCTCACTGGTGCCCGAGCTGAAGTCACGGTAGATTTAGTTATCAATGACGTCAATGACAATGCTCCAGTTTTTGACCATTTTGCATATAATGCTACCTTGTCTGAAGCGTCTCTAATCGGAACTCCTGTCTTGCAAGTTGTTGCTACGGATGCAGATTCTGCAAACAACAAAATTATTCAGTATCAGATCGTCCAGGACTCCTTCAACAGCACAGATTATTTCCACATTGATGGCACAAGCGGTCTGATCCTAACCGCCCGCTTGCTGGACCACGAATTGATGCAGCAATGTAGTTTAAAAGTAAGAGCAACTGATAACGGATTCCCTCCATTAAGCAGCGAGGTTCTAGTTAGCATCTTTGTGACCGATATGAACGACAACCCCCCCATTTTTAACCAGTTGATTTATGAATCATATGTTAGTGAGCTAGCTCCTCGAGGTCATTTTGTGACTTGCATCCAAGCATCTGATGCAGACAGCTCTGACTTTGACCGACTGGAGTACAGTATTTTGTCTGGAAATGACCGTACAAATTTTGTAATGGACAGCAAGAGTGGAGTCATCACTCTGTCGAACCATCGAAAGCAGAGGATGGAGTCCATGTACAGTCTGAATGTCTCTGTCTCCGACGGTTTGTTCACAAGCACGGCCCAGGTCCATATACAAATTCTGGGAGCAAACCTGTACAGCCCCGTGTTCTCCCAAAGTATTTACGTGGCAGAAGTGAGAGAAAACGTTGCCCCAGGAACCAAAGTTCTCCACGCCAAAGCAACTGATGGAGATTCAGGCATCTATGGCCAAATAAGCTATTCGATTATAAATGATTTTGCAAAAGATCGTTTCTCAATCGATAACAATGGACAGATCATCACCACTGAGAAACTTGATCGGGAGATCCCTTTAGAAGGCGATATCTCCATATTTTTGAGAGCCCTTGATGGAGGGGGGAGAAACACATTCTGCACCGTGAGAGTTATAGTGGTGGATGAGAATGACAATGCTCCACAGTTCTTGACAGTGGAATACAGGGCAAGTGTCAAAGCAGATGTTGGGAAAGGCCATTTGGTCACCCAAGTCCAAGCAGTTGACCCAGATGATGGTGCCAATGCAAGGATTACCTATTCGCTGTACAGTGAGGCCTCCGTTTCTGTGGCCGATCTGCTGGAAATCGACCCTGACAATGGATGGATGGTAACCAAGGGTAATTTCAACCAGCTAAAAAACACAGTGCTCTCCTTCTTTGTCAAAGCAGTTGATGGTGGAATTCCTGTAAGGCATTCCCTTATCCCTGTATACATTCACGTTTTGCCCCCTGAAACCATCTTGCCTTCCTTTTCTCAACCCCAGTACTCCTTTACAGTATCCGAAGACACCATAATAGGTAGCACCATTGATGTTCTCCATGTTTTGCCTAACCAAGGAGCCACCTACAGCACAGTCAATGGTGAGCTCACGGGAAACAACAAGGATGGGGTTTTTATTATAGAGCAAGACACTGGCATCATAAAACTCGATAAGAGACTCGACTATGAGACGAATCCTGCCTTTCTCTTCAAGGTCGCTGCAACCATACAGCTAGATAAGGTGGATGTTGTGTTGACGGTGGATGTGGACATTAAAGTGCTGGACATCAATGACAACAAGCCTGTGTTTGAGACAGCGAACTATGAAGCCATCATAATGGAAGGCATGCCCATAGGAACAAAACTTGTCCAAGTTAAAGCCGTCGATGCGGACTGGGGAGCAAATGGGCAGGTCACATACTCCCTCTTAGCAGAATCGGAAGGTGACAAAATCACAGAGGTGTTTACCATCGACAGCAATAGTGGCTGGATCAGCACCTTGAAGGATTTGGACCATGAGAAGAATCCCACCTTTACCTTTGCAGTGGTGTCTGCTGACCTAGGAGAAACATTGTCCCTCTCATCCACCACTTTGGTAACAGTCACAGTGACAGACATCAATGACAACGCTCCTGTATTCGAGCAGGAGACATACAGGGGAACGGTGAAAGAAAGTGACTCGCCAGGTGAAGTGGTGGCTGTCCTCAGCACTTGGGATGAAGATACCTCTGATGTCAACCGCCAAGTTAGCTACCATATTACAGGTAAGGTCCCTTTCAGGGACAGGGCTAAGCCCAGTAGTAACACACACTCTGCATGCAGCAGGGCTCCTTTCCCATCAGTGGATTCTCCGATTCAGAAGAGCATTGAGTAGCAGAGCTATTGAGTAGAAGATAGATAGAGAGGTAGGTGCGAATAAAGGACATTGTGGTTGCTGCTTCAAGCCATTTAAAAATGGAGGTGAGACTCTGCTGTTAGGCCATCCGACTATTGTCCTGTCTTCCCCTTATGCAGAAGAGTGATCATAGCAGCGGTGTTCATATTTGCAATGTAATGCAAGGATATAGATCTCATGACCCAGCTGGGGATTTTGATTCAGTTTGGTTTTACTAAAGAAGCCAATACCTCAATGAATCAATCTTGCTGTTCCCCTAATTTTCAAGCATCACGTCTAGAAAGAAAAAGAAGACATTGGATAGGAAGATTTTTTTCCCCCTCTCTCAGGATAATAGAACATGCATTCCTCTCCTGAAGCTTAAGGGTGGGATATTCAGAACAGATTCATGGAAGAACCTTTTCACACAATGCATAGTTAAGCTGGAATTGACTGCGACAAAATACAGCAGTGGCCTCCATTTTGATGGCTTTCAAAGTAGATTAGACAAATTCATGGATCTTAAGACTATGAGTGGTCTTAATCCTGGTGTCTCTACGTGATGTCTAGTGTCAGAAAGGGTCTCCCTATATATACTATATGTTGGGAAACATGAGGGGGATGGTACTATTGTTCTGATGTCCCATTTGTGGGATTCCCACAGGGAAGCTGGTTGAACATAGTGTGAACAGAATGCTAGATGAACAATTCTGCTGATCCAGCATGACTTTTTTCTGAACTTCTTACGCTTTAAACTGGGTTAATTAAAGAAGGATGGAGGAAATGGAAGTGCTATTCAGATGTCTTCCTTCTGATAGCATGGGATTACCCTCAGGTTGGCCACTGGGGAGAGTGGGCACAAGACAACTTGTCATAAGATGGCAACAGATTAGCAGGAGTAGCATTTTACTATTAATTTGCAGAAGATGTTTCCAATCCCTAAATGTGATCATGCTGTCCTGAAGCACAGAAAAATAGACACCATAGCTTCAGGTTTCCAATATCAGTGGACATGTCAGAATATCACAAAAATGTATGCCTGTCCTCATAAAACAGGTGCCATTCAATGCCAGGTACAATTCCTATTTAAATTTAAATAGCTGGACTACACAAGATGAGAAATATTGAAAGCAACAGTCTTACACTTTGACAAATACGTGATGTGCAGATGCCGTAAATGCATGTATACCCATGTTTGGGACTCTAGTCCATTTGGGTTTCCTAGACACATTATCTATGAATATGCATGTGTGCCTTCAAAAGCAGTTTTGGGAATTCTCTCTCTCATGCCTAATGAATGAACATGTTGGCCAAAAAAAAAAAAAAAAAAAATGTAAGAAGGGTGCCCTGCTGGTGTTTCCCACAGACTCAGAAAATGCAGAGTGGATTGAACCTAGTGGAGACTTGCTTGCAGATAAACATGCAGAAAATGTGATTGCAGGTCTCATTTCATAGGGGGGCTCACAGTTTTTGGGGACCAGGCTCCAATTCCTATTGCAGAGAATTTAAATTTTAAAAGGAGGCTGTCACAGTCATTGAAGCACCATTAGGCATGGATTCGTTACACTACATGTTCAAAGTACTGCCGTCTTCAAGGGACTTAATTCATTCATGACCATTTCCTCCCCCGCCTCCAAAAAAAGAGTGAAAGTATAGTTGTCTACATCCATCAAATTTTCTCTCTCTATTACTATTATTATTCTCATTGTTATTGTCGTCATCTTCATCACCAAGTTAACTTTTAATTTGCAGTCTTAAGGGAAGGAGGGAAAGAAGGTCACAAAACTGTGACAGATGGAACTTCTGTACTCCAGACAGGCTGAATCTGTTTTCTGCATGGTTTTCCATTGTGTAATAGCAATATAATTTTGACACTCACATGATAAATGGGAAGAGCAAGAAGTTAAAAGTATCTTGGGAAAGGAAATACATTTCCTTAAGACAAAGGTGGGCAACTTGTGGCCCTCTAGATTTTTTCCAAAAGAGAAAGTTCTTAGCTGCATGAAAGAGCTCTTATTCTGTCCAGTAAAAGTAAGAGGTATTTTAGCCACCTGTGAACATTTCCCTTTTGGATGCATTAGTGACTTCATCTCTAGATGTGCCTTTCTCTCTGTTTTGTCTAGATGTTTTGGCCTACAACTCCCATCATCCCTGGCCAGCATAGCCAGTGGTGAGGGATCATGGAAGTGGAAGGCCAGAATTGCTGGAGGGCTATCCTCCCCTGCCTTAAGGAACTACAGCACGACCTGTGTACATCAGGGAAGGATTGCATGTTGGTTCCATGAGTTCAACAGTGCAGAAGATCAGGGTCGTGGGTTCATAGGCACTTCAGGGGTAGGACAGGTGTACTGACCTGCACTGAAATCCAAGGTGACTGTGGTGAGGGACAGGCAATATCATCAAATGGGAGTGAGGGGTGGATCTTGATGCCTGCAGGCCACTTGAATGTGAATTTAAATGGGCTCAGCCTATCTGAGGAGGGGAAGTGTAGACTCAAATATGCTGCATCCATTTAATTTCATATCCAGGTGGCCTCCAAGCTGGGCCTGATTCGAAATGGGGCCTGCACCTGGCCCTTGCCCCGCACCTGCCTTCCTTGCAAATCTTCTGCACACATTTTTTCCCAAGGAAAAATCTCTTACATTCGGAAGCAGCAGTAATTCAGGCCTCCCAATCCCCAGTCAGTCAGATGATCCCCAGCACGCCTCATCTACAGCACGGTGCTTCTCTTGCCTAGAAGAGATGACTTGTGAACCCTCCCCTTTGCTCGAGAGAAGGCATTTTTTACCCTTAGGGAAGGTGGAGAGAGCTGGCAGGAAGAACAAGGTTGGATTCAAGGGGAACATTCGAAGAGCCCAGTTGATTGGCATGGAGTGTGTAGTAATGGTTACCTTCATAGTTAGAAAGCCCCATTTCAGGTAGCCATGAGCTTGGCCAGTCATGGCCTTTCAGTCCAACCTTCAATACAGCTTTCCACCTTTTGCATCACTGTTGTTGTGGTCACCATCATTCTTTCTACACAAACATTCATGCAAACACAAACCACAAATACAGTGCAATACAGCATTTTTCCAGTAGACAAAACTTAAAAACAATTTCAGTACAAACTAGACCTGTTAAAACCACTGACATAACCTTATGTGCTATGTGCTATTGCATAACCTTAAATACTATTAGATGTGTGGGAGGAGAGAGTAGTCTTAACCTGGCACTGGAAGTATAACAGAGTGGGTACCAGATGGGCCTCCCCAGGGAGATCATTTCATCATCAATTCAAGGCCGTTTGAGTTTCTCTGCTCTTGTTGGCTGCAGCCTCTCAGCAGCCTCGACTAAAGGAAGCAGGATGAAGCTGCTGAAAATATGGCTGGCAGTCTGTGTTTCATGTTCCTGAACCGTATCTAGAACCAGCTTCTTTTGCGTGTGACACTCCTTGATCCATGCTTACTCTGCCCATCTCTGCCTTTCCCATAGTCCTGCTGCCAGTCCTGCCATGCAACCCATGTGCTGGCTTCCCCCAGTATTGCGCAATACTTGCTGCTCTGATCCTCCTCAAGGATGCCTTGCGCATCTAGTCTAAGAGACCGTACGTGTCAGCAACTGGCCCATCTCTTGCATGACACAGTCTGCTCAGATAAATGTGTCCGATTCTGAGAAGAAGCCATGGGGCAGAGGTGGGCAGATGATGTGGCACTTCCAAGCTGCCCTAGTGAGATGCAGAGTGTGAGAACCAGCCCACCTTGGAAAAGGAGGGAGACATTTCAGATTTAGTGGGGAGAAGATGGAGAGGGACCACAAGCATAATCAGCAGGCCAGTTAAGAAGACTTTCCCATCATTGAACCCACAATCAGCAGGAACCATGCATGCTCAGAGTGGAGACCAGATCTTGCTGAAACGGAAGGAAGGAAGGACGGACAGTTTCTAGCCAAACACAAGGCTAGAAAAATTCTCAAATTTTGACACAACTCAAAATTACATATCAAAAAATGAGGAACCACAAATTTCAGATTCATCCATCCTTATTAATAGCACAATTAATTCATAGATTCACCTCTTTCAGTCAACTTGCCTGCTTCTTCCTCTCGGGTTCTTACATGCATCAGTGCAGGTAGCTGCGTGAAGAAAGAGCACTGAGCTGGCCCATACACATATGAGCTAGCACAATCTCCACAATGAAAGCTGTTAGGCAAAACCCAGTTGCAGAAATAAATAGCTGCCTGCTACCAATGTGAACAGACGGAGTCCTACCAGATTTTCCCTATTAAGTTGCATACCCAATTACATAATTTCTTGCAGGAATTTGTCTCTTGAGAATGTGTGCTTGATAGCAATAATAAGATATTTTAAATTCATTGCTATTTGTTGGAAGCTGGAAAGGTTCATAGGTTTTGCCAGTCCTATTCAAGAACAGTCTGGCAAAATGTCTCTTGAATGTAAAATCTGAAGATTGTCGGCAAGGAGGTTTTTGGCTTGCGAAACTTTGTATATAGAGAGCACTCTAGTCACCCAAGATTTAGAGGCAGCTTGAATACGTCAGAATCAAGCACAACCAAACTACATTCTTCTTAGGGAAAGCTGGCCATTGTGAGCGTAAAGTTATGAAGTACTAACATGGAGACAGGATGGTTGCATTTGGATTCTTTCTAGAAAACAATAGTATGGACATTTCACTATATTTGTTGTCTGAGATGGGAGATTTTTAAAGGTTTAGCCTAGCCTTGTAGGTTTGGGGGATACTGTGAGGGATCAGGGGAGTTGTTTGCTCTGTGTTTTGGCTTGGTTTGGTTTGGTTTTCTTTCTTTTTTTTACATGCAATAACATTATCTCAAACAGTGAAAAGCTGGGACCACAGTTTGTCCCAAAATGAGCTCACACAGGCTAGAACATTCCAC